TATTTTTTAACTAAAATAGCCTGACTTTCTTTGACCTCCTGAGAGGTTCTCCAGCAAAAAAAAAGCACCTCTTTCAACGACTGTTTCTAAGGTAAATGTTCAATTAAGTTAAAGAGCTTTGGTTTTGTAATAAAAAACAATGAAAAATTCCTTTTCCATCCTTTCAGTTCAAGTTCTTGTTCCATTTAACACCTGGTATAGGGCCTTATGCCAACCTCTGTGCTTTGGGAAATTTCAGGTACAATAAGCACATCCTTAGGGTGCCATTTGGGCTAGACCAGATACAGATATAGTCATCACTCTCTTTTCCATATATGGCATCCAATATGATTTCAGAAGCTTAGGTTCAGATTTAAAGACCTAAAGACTATTACTAAAACCTTTTATTTCTACATGAAAAGTGTGCCTAAAGTGAGGGAATAATGATGATACCTGAGATGATTGCAAATGTCATTAAATAAAGGGATAGTTTAATGGAAACATAACTAAATGTATGCTCACCAGAGGTTACTAGAATTTATAAATAAACCTGCTTTTACTTAAAATAAACGAAAGCAATTACAACAATAAAAAAAGACTAATGCCTATAGATTTCCCCCTGGTCATTAACATGTAAGTCACTATCTTAATTAGAATTCCATTTAATGAAAGTTTTCTTAATTCTTATTCCTGAGTGTTTTTGGTATTATGAAAAATATCAGTTAGATTTGTTTCATGCTTTTAGTTGCTGGAGAAAGATTAAGCTGGCTTTTAGATTTTTTAATGCTGTTAACAGTAAAAAGGGATGGAGAACTGAGAGGTAAGATCAGATGTTCCCTTAACCTATAAAAACCAACAAGATCTATCGATGACTTTGTGTGTGGTATCGAAAACACGATCCAGGGGAACAGTGTTTTACAGCTCACCAGACAGAGTAATGACTGAACACAAAAAGAGCCTTTCTTTTGCTCCTTTCTCAAAGCAGACTGTACTGGTCTCAACTGTTCACAAGCAGCTGCAGTCTCGTGCAAAAACCAGACCACATCAGAGAGAAGCTCTGATGTGACCTGTTAGGCTGGAGCTCATGGCAGCCTGTCTGCTGCTTGTGTATTCACCCTTCATCGTGTCTCCTGTTGTGGTCCAGAGAGCCAGAGGAACTCAAAGCAGCCATTGATTTTGTGCAATTCAGTCTTATTACAGATAGGTGGAGACATAAAATCCAGTTTCCAAAGTTGTATATGCCTACAGTAGGTCCTGTTTCTATTGAGACTATATCTAGGATGATACAGGAGTCAGGGTTACAGTGACTGGCTTTCTTTCTGCCGACTACCAATGGATACAGGCAAGGGTCTGTATGCTGAGGTACCGTAACAATACCCTAACTAAGCAGAGATTATGGTCATTCAATGAGAAATGAATACCATAGACACAAACCTCCACTACCTGGGCTAAGAAAATATTCCCTGTGTTGGATTTACCAGCCTCTTTTCAGCCCTGACTAACCATCCATGTGGGACAACTGCATACACTGAGCTTGCAGTAGCTCCTTTCCTTCATCATCCATTTCAGCCTGGCCACCATAGGCTGCCAGATGTTTTACCTCAAAGTAACAACCTCTAATCAGCCTCCTGAAACCCCTCTCCTAAGGCTGAATTGTGTCTTTTGCACGGCAGCAGTAAGGCTGCTGAAACTCTGATGGTCTAAGACTGCAAGAGAGGTAAGTTTTGTAGAAATAGTGTCTTTTATTAGATCAATGATAAGGCTAGGAGAAGCAGACAAGCTTTTCTGAGCTCCCAATCTCTTCCTCGGATTGTTAGAATTGTATCTTCTTCAGCCAGGAAGCACTCCCTTCTTTTCCTGACAAGTACTCTAACAAGCTACTTAAACTCCTCCTTCATTACAGAGTTTTTCCTTTCTTATTTGCTGAAGGTAGCGGTAGCATTGTTCGCCACTGACAACTTATTTTCTACAGGAATTCACAAGACTTTCTGCCATCTGTTCTAGACTTTGCTGCTTTGGATGGAACTTACATTCAAATCTTTGCATTCAAAATGAGCTCATATGAAGAAAGAATAGTTTATCATTTTCTTCCATCTGAATTAAAAACTGCAAATGATTAAATTCACTTAGAAACAAGACAGTATTTTTTTCCCAAGGAAAACCTTAGACCTTCTGGCTTCTTCCATATCTGCTCAAAAATAGGATTATTGAAAAAGCAAAAATGCATGTATATTTAAAAAAAATCTACATCTAAAAATCTTCCATGGCTCTTTCAAAAATCTTCCTACTTTTCCATTCCTCTTCCAAAAATGTTAGCATAGAGCAATCAAATCTCATGTCTATTCATACAGTTTATCTCTACATTTTCCTCAAAACTGAGCTGATATAGAAGAGAGGCATGAGTGAACACCCAATCCTTTCTCTTCAGACTTTTCCTAATGTAATATTTCATGAATTTGTTTTAAAATTGACTTCTCCTTCATGACTTATGCTAAATGAATCTCTTAAGACAGAAATTTCTCATTTATTCACAGGTATAGAGTTTGGTTAGCAAAGGACAAGTGTTTTTCTGCTCAAGTTACCAACCTGTACTAAAATACAAACAGCTTGGAAATTCACAAATGAAACATTTCCAAGTGCCGCAACAGAGGATTGGGAGCTACCTTTTTATAACATTTGTTCACTATAGTCTTGGGTAAGTTCCAGAAGTTTGTGATCAAAGCAATAATGATATTATTCCTCTAAGTAGTGAACATAGTAATATCACAGATGATTAATCCTGTATGCTGAGGTACCATAACAATTAGATTAGATTAGATTACTCCTAATCAGTCCTATCAAGGCTTTAGTGCTGCTCAAAACAGAATAAGACCAGCTGATCATATTACATGTATGATATTGTTCTTTGCATATAGTGGAGGTGATCACTATTAGAAAATAGTCTCTGGCAGCATGTTATCCATAAAGCAGGCTTATATGAAAACTCAGTGGGACTCTACAGTCATATTACTCCTCTCCTGGGCTCACTGAGTTGCTATTTCTCAAGAAGCTCAGGCTCTTTTTTCTATTCTGCTTGTTGCATCATGAAAAATATTTAGAGAGCAAGCTCAGGAGTACTAGAGAGGGGAAGATGGAGAGCTAGGCACAGATGGCATTGATAATGAAGCAAAGCAGCTGTCAATATTATTTCATAATGAGTTATTAATGATTAGCACTCTAGCTTGATATGTTGACAGGACCAAGCTTGCTGTTAAGAGTGTGCTATCTTGCTTGTCAAGAACAATATGGCTAATAGAGAACAGGGACTAGCCTTCAAGAATTTCTCAATGCTATTGGTTCCTGTTTGTTTCAGTAGGAGCTGTAGCCCTTTGCCACAATGCCTTATATAACCAACTCCTAAATATTTGAAAAATGGGAAGAGAAAGCATACAGTAGAACAACGTCATTCAGCTGTAAAGAAGTAACTTCAGAAGCATTTTGAACCTTGCCCTTTACTCTTGCTGAGATCAACATGCATTTGTAAATACACTGCTTATACAGGTCAGACAAATCTTCTGTTATATAATGATGGCCTCTGTCGCTAGCTTTTCATTCTGCTGAAGTACTAAGCCTGGGCTCTTTCCAGAAGCAGAATATTGAACTAGTTAGCCCACTGGTGAGACAGCTTAACCCTGCCTCATGACCTCATTTATTGATTGAATGAGGGTAGCTTTCTATGTACCTTTTCCTCACTCACCAGTAGTAGCCATGTCCTACTCTAGAAATCTGTTTGCTACAAAATATACAGTGCAGTTGTTTTCATTAGCCTGAATATTAGCCTCCTTGAGTTGCATGATATGCACAAGATATTATGATATTGTGATATGCATGGCTGCCGTCTGAATGTCTCAGAAGAGTACTCTGAAAACAAATATCTCTATTGCATGCCTGCGATAAGCATCTGCCAAACTTGGTAAAAAAAAGGAAAAAGTGTCACTCAGGTCACTATATCTTATATCCATACGAAAAACTATGAAAGAAATGAAGAAGGAAAAAGAAAATGCATTATCTTTCAAAAGGAAGGAAAAAAAAGTCTATTTTTGTTTTTAACCAAAGAGCTTCAGTTGAGATGTTTCATGTATGTCAGCCTTTTCTTCTCACAGAGCACATTTTTGCATTTCTTTCCAGTAAAGGTATTGAAGGCAAATTCAACTTTCTGCGGTAAGATTTTTGTTTAAAGTCCTTTTTTTTAAAGATTATTTAAGTGTACATGCAATACTTTTTACATGAACTTTTCTTCTAAAAGTGAAGTTTTGAAATTTAAAATTTAAATCAAAATTTCTTACAATACTAAAGCAAGTGCTGTGGAAAAATCTATGTGTAGTATATCCACTCATTTGCCTATAAGCAACCAACCTACTAAAACTTGTGGGGAATAGAAGTTTTATCTGTTAAGTTCTACCTATCTTCCTTGAAACTTTCTAAATTTCTATTGATTTTTTTTTTTTTTTTTTGCATTATATCATTCTGGTGTTTTACCTAGGCTGTCTCAGGCTTCCTGGTCAAGATTTTCCTTTGTCATAATTTAGATTTTAGTTGCAGTTCTCCATTCTTTGGCATTTCTCCAACTTTCAGAAATGGTTACCAATTGGCATTAACGATTTAGAAGGTACTTCACATGGGTTTTGGTAAGACAGTTGTCAGGAACTGAAGCACATCCCCCTCTGTGGGAATTTAGTTGGCTAAACTGGGGAATTTAGCTGGCTAAGTCCAAGGTCAGCTCCTTTGCTGATATGAGCTGTGAAGAAAGCTAAAAGCAAAGCTGCCCCTCCTTTCCCTTGGGAGCTGCTTTTGAGCTGAGGCTCCATTGCTGGCCCCTGTACAGCAGTTACATCTGTGCCCAATCTCCTGATTCCATGAGTCTGGCCCAGACCCAGGCCCAGGCCCAGACCCAGACCCAGACCCAGACCCACCGGCTCAGCTTCTTGACTTGACCTTGGACCTGCCTCATCACTATGGAACTTGCTAGGTGGTTGCTGAACTGTACCTGATCCTGGTCGCTGTCTCTGCGCCCGATCCTGACCTGAACTTGTGGGTCTGCGTCCTGGCTCCTTGCTGGTGAGGTCACCGTTGGTGCCTGCCCTGCTACTGGGCTCGGCTCCCGATTCACCTTCTCTTGCGGAGCAGCCAGCCCTCGCTGCTGCCTGACAACTGTGGAGCACAAGTTATCCAGGTCAGTCCATTTACAAATGTTTTATTTGAATCATGATGCCTTTGCTGCAGATGCTAACTCTATCACTGTAATGCCAGGATAGGATGGAACTGTTTGTGTTTTCCACATCATTATGTACAGTATCATCTGCATGTAGAAATGGAGCCAGGTTGAGGGTTTGCTTTGTTTTATTCTCAGTGTTTAAAATTTGTTCTTGCTGTTTTGAACCCCTATTGGGTACTGACATTTCATTCATTCACACAGAATCACATCAAATTGAAATTTGGCTCATCCCTTCTGCTCTTTCAGTTATATTATATTGATTTGTTATTTATGATTATTTACTTCTATTTTCTCCCTATGGATAATACTTTAGCATTGAACTAAGTTTTCTTTTTCCAGCACTGGCTTCTTTATGTGTTTTCCCCATTTCTATGTCCAGAAATCTATTCTTGAGCAAATGCCAGTGTAGAAGGTTGGACTACATGACTCCTGAGGTCTATCTGTAATATTTTACGATTTTACGATTCATTTTGACTTTAAAGGTAGGTTCCCAGATACATCCCTAGTAGGTGCTCCTGTGTTTATGGAAATAGCCTGTTATGGAAATAGCTTATCTGGAAGCACCTGGAAGGTACTGATAATGGGAGAAAGATAGTTTCCATGTCTCCTATTCCAGAGTCCTGGTCAGAAACCAAGAGAGAGCATCCCTGAAGATTCCCTTAGTCTTCAGCACATAGCAGTGTTTCTAGGAATACTAGTACTGGCAATCAGAAAAAATAATCCACCAAAGCCAATGAATTCTGAACTGAGCTGCCAGCTCTCTATTTGAATTTGGATTTGCTTATGGTTCAGCTGCCAGTAGCACATTTGAGGTGTACAGATCTGTGGATCCACAACTCAAGTGTGGATTCCAGCTCTGATTTCATCTCCCTCCCTCCTAAAACCTTAAAGCACCAGAAGTGTAGGAGAAGGGAGAACGAGGATTCAGAGCCAATGATGCAACGAGGAGAAACAAACCTTTCTAACACAAGTCTTCTCTGTATAACAACTACAGAATGAAACTTGAGCATAGAATACTTAGCTTAAATCACAGAAGAATCTGTACTGATCATTAAATGCTAATATTGTATATTTAGAGATAAGTAATATGATAGTTACACACTATGGGACTATTGTCTGCAGAGCAGTATTGGTTATTAGACTATGAGTGGAATGTATAGGCCAAAGAACAGTACCCAACCCATAACTCAAATACCCAATAAAAGCACGGAATACATTTACCAGTAGTTATGAATTTTGGTTCCAGTTTTGTCTTTTGATGGTGTTTTGTAGTTTTCCGTTAAAGGTCTGGGCTGCCAGGTCAGAGACAGACAGATCAGATGAAGTGATTGATTTGTGAATAGTGTTGCCCTTCTGATAAGTGGGTATTTCTGACTTATGGACTGCTCTGAGGAAGTTCACTCTGCAATATAAGCTGTTGTTTGCTTTTGTCCACAGAGCTTCTATAGTGGCATGTAATGTACTGAATAAAACGTGTTATGTTCTGGGAGGGCTTTGAGATGAGAGCAAGATGAACACACTGTGCTGAGGGTGTGAGAAATGCATTGGAAAGGCTTGCATGTGTTGCTTAGGCACAGGCTAGGCTTATTCCATACACCCACACACCTACCAAATGGAAATTTGTTTCTGAGGAGTTTGAAAAGGAAGAGATTTATTTGAAGAGAAGAGGGAATTTGGAAGAGGAATTCAAATTTTGATCTTCTTCCAGGATAGATTATAATCTGAGGATTCGCTTTCAATATATGTTCCAGGATAGGGTAGTATGTGGTCAGGTCTTTGGCTTATAATACATTTATAAATACTAAAGAGAGGCTTATTCAAAAAAGAATCTATTTGTTAGAGGAGTGCTCTTGGTGTGTAGAAGTTATTGTAGAGTGATCATGTGTGTATTGTATACATTCTTCCAACAAGTGCAGTGGTGTCTGAAGGTCTATCTGTGTGTCTTTTGGGAATATTCAGGACGAATTGGTTGTTGTTTGGAGATAATGCTTCATGAGTTTTCAATGCATTTTGTAGGACACCCTGTTTTGTATTCACCACTAACTCTAGAACACCGATGATGGTGAATGAAGAGGTGTATTTTACCTTTTCTTATCCTAGTTGCAACTGCGTGGCAACTTTTACTTTGTAGTTAGCTGACAGTGCAAGCATTAAGTATAAAACCCCTTTTAAGTTTCCTAAGTTTTTCTCTTGAATCTTCAGGGACTGCAAAAAATTGGCTTCTTTCATTTCACTAAGTCATATTCAATATGTGATTAAATTTTCTGTTCCTAGCTGGATCTGTACCAGAACTTAAATATCTGGGCCCAAATTGCACAAAGTTCAGCTGAATTGAAGATATGCAAAGTTTTGGTGTTGATGGATCTGATCCATGTATGCCCTCTACCTAATTTGCAGTTTCTGCTATACTCTGCTTGTCTTATCACATTCTTATCCTTTTCTGCCAAATGTTCTAGTGCATTTAAGCAGTTAAAAAATGCCTCTACCCTACCCTCTGGTTTTGAGATCATGCTTCTTTCAGTGTGTCTTCTTTGTTTTGTTCCTGTTATTATTTCACAGACCTTTGTCTTTGGTACTTACAAGTACAGAAGGTTCAATGAAATCTCCATGATTTCCAAAATTATGGGATGTCTTGGAAGTGGAAAAAGTGTCTCCAAGGCTTATTTAGCTTTATTCTTGGAACCAAACATCTTGGGGCACAGAATGCAATAGCTCTCAAAAGTTGCTAAATCTTTCTCTATCCCTCAGGATATATGCAGTCACTGGGATTTTGTATTGATGATGTAGTGCCTCTGTCTGGTAGTTCAGCTGTCGCATTACTTACTGAAGAGAATTCCTGGAAGACGCAGAGAAATACCGTATTCCATATGAGAGTGTGGTTTGAATTAGGTTCTCCAGGAAAGAAGTTGACAAGTAATATGCCTTAGGTCTTCTTTAGCTTCTTACGTGTGTGTCTGTTGCCAGATGACTGTTGCCATAGCTATCAGCTGCTTCCAGGAGAGGAGTCAGGAGCAGAAGGGAGAACGTGACTGGGGACTTAGTCACTCTTGTCCCCAGTCTGGGCAGATCGAGGGAATAAGCAGGAAGACCGTTCTCCTCAGCTAAGTGAATTGGCACACTCCTAGGAAAGAAGCAGCATGGAGCAAACATGCTAAGCCTGCTGGAAGGTTCTTTTAGAGACTGGCTGGCAAACCAGCTAGGATTTTTACAGATGGCTCTAGTGAACTGAAGTGATTTAATTCCAGTATAGCCTTGTCTATTGTGCTACTTCTTTTTGACTGTTGAGTCTCTGTTACATTCACATTGATCATGTGGCACTTCTTTTGAAGAAGATCTTCCTATGTACAGGGGGAATTCTCTTCATCTTACTTTGGCTGTTTATTCCTGAGAACATTAGCCCAGAGGTGATCTGGTTAGAACAGACACATAATTCTGCACATCTTAAAAATTGTTTCAAATTGGCTTTTTCATGGAAAGAGAAAAGTACAGTACAACAGTAAAATATATACCTAGGCAGGTGATATAGAAAAGTATCATGAAAAAGTACTGAGAACTGAACAATTCAGGAAGGTTCTTTCTCTGGGATGACAGTGGTTCTGATCGTATGAGGAAGATCTTATTTCAAGTTTGATAACTGCTCATAATACATACAGGTAATGGATTTCAACATGCTTTCGATGAACAGAGTGTCATCAGAAAAATGTTCATTGGTCAAAATATGCATTTTCACTCAGGAACTTAGAGGACTGGATAATAGTTAGATTAGGAAAAGTATTCCTGGGTTCAGGATGGAATTTTGGGGAATTTCCTTCCTAATTTGGAATTTACTTCCTTAATCCCACATTCATATCATTAGCTACTCTTTATCTTTAATGAATGTTATCTTTAATGAATTTATACATTTCAGTACTGATATTGATTAGACTTGTAATTATGTACTATCTGTTGATATGCCATTGAATCAAATTCTGAGAGCACAATAAAGTAATTTGGCAAATAGGTAGGAAAGGGACACTTCAAACTGAGAGCAGCTAGACATGGAATGTTAATCAGAAAAACTGCAAATAATTAAATGCTTTTTGAGGCCACCTCTGCAGTGCTCTACTATCAACTAAAATTTTTCAGAACTAGTTTTTTTTAATTTGCCATGGTTGCTCTGCTTTAGCTTTAAGAATTCAACATGCATATGCATCTCCTATCTGACCACTAGGCTTATTTGTTAAGATCAATGTGACTCTCCAGCATTTAGTATTTTATTTACATTTGTGCTGCCTCAGGCAACACTTTCTCCCTTACTACATCCCTTTCTCCTGTATACATATGAACAAAATAGCATAAGAAACTTTCTGCCAATATTCACTTACATTTAAAATCCACTCACTTTTCACATGCTGACATACTTCTTGCATTGCTTTCTGTAAATGTCCTGCAGATTCAGCTGACTGGCCTGAAGGTACTTTGACAGACAGCTATAGCATTATAGCTATAAGCATTAGAAGAAAATTAATTTTAAACTTGTTAATGCAAATCTTTGCTCTAGAAGTATGTAACCACTTATTCAGTCTGGGAATAAAGAGGATCTCACATAGAACACCTGGACAATTAGCAAGTGAACAGTTCAGTAAGCCTCGGCTTAAAGTATATGCACATGTGAAAACTTGCACAAAAATGAATCAAACTACTTCTTTGGTACTTCTCTTATTTGGAGCTGTAGCAAATGCCAAAACACCCAAATAAAACTCTTCAGCCCAAGTTAAAGAGCTTAAAAATTCTGCTGTTATTGATCACATGAACATTTTCATCAGATGTAATAGAGCTGTGACTTCATGATCACTGATATTCCATTAGCAAGAAAGGTTACTGTAGTAAAGTAATCACTGCCATGTATTTTTTAGGCTTATCTTTGGATTGGCACTACCCTGCTAAAGGGAGGCAATATAAAAATCAGTATAAAGAAA